TTGGACCCCATGCGAGTAACCATGGTGACGGGACTTGCGGCGTTGGCCTCACGGCTACACCAACTTAAGACGGAGGACAGGTAGAGGGCGGTAAATTTAAATAGGACTATGTAAGCCCGGACCAACTTGAGAATGGGTGGATCCCTTTAACGGCAGGATAATATATGAGTCACGATGACCAAACTTGGCAGGACTCATTGGGCGCTGAAACACAATTTGCGGGCGCCTGATGCAAAACTTTTGCTGCCCGCCTATGCAAAGCGGTTAAACACGCATCTGACTTTTTTAAGTTAGTGGCTGCGCAGGGGAAAGTTCGTGCCATTTTTACGTTTATTTAGTATAATACTTCCTGCTTGTTCGCGGATGTAGTCATTATGCGACTATTTCGCAAAGATGGCTTAATCCGATTTAAATGTTCGTAACCGTTTCGGGGTGAAGTCTGCATAATTGTGTTCGAAAGCCTTTATGCCACATCTCCCAGTAGTCCTCTATGAGGTTACCAGCTTAAGATTAGTAGTCGGCGTTATGAGAGAAACCACACTGGAATATCCCGGGGAGCTGGCTGATAATTCGAGGAGCCCGGAAGGTTGCGTCATACAACGACAAAATGACAGAGGAACACACATCTGAGTTCATAACTCGTACCTGTGTTGAGAGTATGGTGAGGCCGCGATGCACGTAAAAATTGTCTCACCATACAAGCAGCTATACAACAGCCTGTCGACCGATTGCCGAATCTTCATTCAGTAGGACCTTCTAGAGGAATTACGTCCGGACAATGAGTTTGGAGGAAATACAAATAACAATGCATAGGTGTGTCTAGACAAAATAATAAAAAAAGTTCTAGCCAAAAACCTAACAGTAAAACCGTCAATGAACTTACAACAACAACTGCCTGGCCTTTATTAAGACCTCGCCTCCCCCCGGAGCTGGCTTGCGTAAATGCTGAGATAGAGCAAAAGGGCGCCACGTTATCTCGTGGTATTCATCGGTCGAATTGGTTTGTGTCCGTGTACATTCGGGACTTTTGCCGCAGATGGTGTAGGCTCTCGTCGTGTCAACCACTCCGCCTAATCTGATTACAAATCGGCAGACAGGCACAGGCAAGCAATTGGCGTAGAGGCGAGAGGAAAGAGGATGAGGCTAATATTGAAGAAACTATCCCAATGGTAAATCACCACATTCCTCACCAAAACAAGTCTGACGCGTTTGAATCTACTATGGCACTGCGACGTCGTGGCCAAATAGGTTTACAGTGGCGGGTTAACTCGGTCCTTCTCAGAAGTGGAGACCAGGCTACAGTATTCCCCCCTCCCCCATTTTGGCCGTTGTTTCATCTCTGTGACACGCTTGAGGTGGCATATGTAACTTTGTCAGCAACTACACCACATCCATGTTCGCTTGTTCAGACTTTGTCTTGTCGGTGAACAATGATGTGTATGGGATGAAGGAGTGAGTTGGATGCCGTCACAGTTTATGACCTTGTGACAACGGTGGACCTCGTAGCTTAGGATAGTCGGATTACCACTACTGAGCACATGTTGTGACAGATCTAAGATGTCTGCCTGCTGACCTTTGCGTTACTTGTCCCCCGGGCCCTTATGGGCAAACTGTGGAACTTTTGGTTGTCCCTAGCTGCTAGGAACTTGACCACCTGTAAGTACATTCAGAATGTACAGATGTTAGTGTCGCAGTCAGTAAATACCCTGCCTGCACATGAATAGTGACTCTTGGTCGATGAACGACTGGTTACTCGGCCTTTGAAGGGTGATGACCTAGGCTAAATGGGGGGCTGCCTCTCACTCTTCTGGAGCTCAAGGATTGCGAACGTTTACTATAGCATGATTCAGCAAGCCATGGGCCTCACAGCCTGGTGTGCGCTGGCAGTTCTCTGGTACCTGCCGGTAGATGTGCTTGCGCCTCTGCTGAGGATGTAGATCATGTGCATGGGTCCCCAGTTCTCCTCCTCCTCCTCCTCCTCCTCCTCCTCCTCCTCTTTCTGACCCATTTTTGTGTTGGTTAAAATCCTGGTCAAGTGTTTATTGTGGACCGGGGGGTGTGGTGGTACGTCTAGGTGCGGATCCGGCCGTGCCAGCCGCCTGCTCCGCCTCCGGTCTTCTTAACACCGGGCCCACGTCGAGGAGGAGAGAGTGCGGTGGATGTTGCGCAAGTCTGCCCTCAAAATAAACTTACTCACGCGTAAGCCACCGCGCCCGCTCTTACCTTGCTGTGAAGCACATGGTGGGCATCGTGGGCAACTGCAGTCGAACTACTAAATGACCTGTTCAGTCTGCAACGTGCCGGGAAGTTATTGAATGAGGTCAGTTGTTTTAAAGAGGGCCCCTTAGTTCCTAGATTTTAATATGGACGCCTAAGTCTACACCTCCGGCGCACATTTAAAGCACTGCTTCATTCCGGCTGGCGGGCTGAGCTTTAATAGACTGTGGGCAACATCTGCTTGAGGTCTTTTCACAGGTGAGCTATACGGTAGATAAGTGCCTGGAAATCGGTGAGGGTATTATTGCTCTATGGTCTACGGCTGCTTATTCGTTAGACTTGACATCCCGCTCATTTTACAGTTAATCATTGCAGAAAGCTGCTCGACAATGTGCCGCATGTTGGCCTCCGGGATAACCCGCAAGCGAATTCATCTCTTCGGGATTCCTGCCTTTCCAGCGAATTTACAGCTATTTCTGAGGGAAGTGGTTTTCGGTGTAGAAGGTGGAAAAATTGTCCCCGTGAACGGTACATGCATTGCTGAGTTGGCAAGATGCAAGAACGAAAAGACTGCGGCTTTCGTCGGCTGCAGCACTATTTTATCATTTGGTATCTCTTTCTGTGAAATTTAAACATGTACAGTTTCATTACACTTAATAATGGACTTAATCAGACTCGGATCACACATACGGCAGAGGAGCCGCACGGAGAAGGAGCCAAAAAGCGCACTTCCCCACTTGGGTGGGGATGGCAATTGAGTCTTTGCTTTGTGCGTTGATGAGTGATTTTGTTGTGTGATGCAGGTGTGGGTGGGAGAATGTGTGGTGATGTGGTGTAGCCGGCGGTTATCTAGCGCAGATTTTCATGGACGCGCATGTGGCCTAATAGGCTCATGCGGTGAGTGAATGTGCGCCGGCGATGAGAGCAGTTGAGGCGGATAGAACGGGTGTAGGTCAGTGTCCCAGGCACTGGCTCTCCAGTTTTTGTACGTTGGCTTCGAAAGTTTCCACCCAGTTCCATGCTTCAGATGAATGTGCGATTGCAGTGTGGGCAAATTTGGACTGACTCCACATCGCTGGTGTTGGCAGTGGTGAGGTTGATGTTTGACGGTGCGCCAAAATTGTGTACAGTGGCGGCGGGGGCAGGAGCCACCGCAGAAGATGTTGGGACGGTGGAGGATGGCAGTGAGTGATCAGGAGCACAGTTAGGGATGATTGTCGACGTGGGGGACGAGGCAGAGGTGGACTGGGAAATATCAGGTGGTGTCGTCCGAAGGCTGCAGTTGGTATGAAGATATCCAACAAAGCCGATTGCTGTCCGCAACGTCCTCTGACAACATGGGCAGGTCGGGGGCGGTTGGGCGTTGACGTTGTGGGATGAGGGCAGCTGAGATTTGCGAGGTTCTCGTTTGGCTTTAGCGATGGTTATGCGGTTGGTTTCGTTGACCACTGCGCCTATCTTCACTGTCCTCCCCCAGGTCGGTTGTTACCGGCCGACGTCTTCCCAGTTGGCTGAGTTAATCTTCGGGCGTTCTAAGAAAGTCTTTAGGGTGTCCTTATGGCGCCTGATTTGACCTCCTCGTCGACATGAACCCGTGGCGACATCTTCTTAGAAGAGCCAGTTGAGTAGCCTCTCATTGTCCATCCGCACGAGGTAGCCGCACCAATGCAGTAGCAATGGTCTCACCATGGCGTGCACGCCGAGGATTCCTGTCCATTCCAGTACATTCGTGACGGGGATCTGGTCCTGTCACCCCAGCTTTATTATCCATCGAAAACAGCTAAAGTGGTGATTGAGCTCCCGCGCCTGCTTCTTGTACACCGTCGAGGTCTCCGCTCCATACAACAGTGTCGGCAGGATGACCGCTTTGTACATTTTCAGTTTGGTGCTGAGATGGAGACCGTGTCGATTCCAGACTGTGTTTTGCAAACGGCCGAACGCTTGACCGGCCTTGGAAATTCGGCGGACCGCTTCCTCGTCGATTTTGTTGTTGCGAGAGATGGTGTTGCCCATATAGGTGAAGGTGTCTACGGCTTGCATTTAGACGCCGTTCACGTTTATGTGGGGCGCATTGTAGGCAGCGTTGGGTGGCGGTTGATGCATAACCATCGTTCTCTCCGCGCTGATGATTAGGTCGAAGTTGTCGCAGGCGGCGGCGCAGAGGTACGTGCATCTTTGCATGTCTCCTTCCGAGGTGGCGTTGAGCACGCAGCCGCCGACGAAGACAAGTTCATGGACGGTAGTTGTGGATACAGGCGACTGGAAGTGCATCTGCTGATGATTGTGGTGGATCCTCATCTTGGATATGACGAAGCGATGGTCGATCCACTCGTCGGAACCCCGGATCGCCTTTGTTACCAGCAGGTCCTGCTGTTCTCGCCTCCTGACAAGGACTCCTTAGATGAAAATTTTATCTTCGGTCACAAAGACTCCCATTTGCCTTTAAACGACATTTCCATACTACCATGTGTCTTCTCATCTGTGTCTTTTGTGATGACAGAGAAACGCCTTAAAGTAGTCCGCGGATCAACAACTGCCGGGACGGATGGTGTTTCACCTTTACTACCTCAGGGTTGCTGTTCTCAGATGGTCTCTGTTTTGACGCACCTTATAAATATGTCTTTTATGGAGTCCACGATTCCCGAATCCTTGGCGTACAGTAAACATCATCCCTATTCCTGAAAAACTTGCAAGTTTTGGTCCTAGATCTTCTCCTTCAATTGCCTGCTTTTCCACACTGCTTAAGGTTGCTGAACGAGTTGCTTAGGACATTATAAAGCCATTATTTTCCGGTTTTTTCCGACCCTTTGCAAGTTGCACATAAAGTCAAGCGTAGTACCTTAGATGCTGTTCCTCTTGTGGTCCATTCTGCCCTACGAGAACCAAATGAGTTGCCCTGCGTACGCCTGTACTTTTCGTGAATACTCCTCCGCCTTCAATACCGTCCCGCGCCATCTACTTTTACCAAAACACCCCGCGCGTGATTCTACATGCTAGGTTGTCTCTTGGCTGTGCGATTACTTTACTTCCTGCACTCAATTTGTCCAGTTCGGCAAGCGGAAATCTATGGTTCTTCCCAATGACTGTAGAGTTCTTTAAAGTTCCATTTTATCCCCCCAACTTGTCTCCTTCCACAGTGATGATATAAGGTCCCCAAACGACTATCTATTAGTTAATTATGCCGATGTTGTGGTTGTTGGCCACCCTCTCAAAAATCTGATACATCTCCAGTCTCTGGAGGATGGCCTTGGCCGTGTCCTAGTATGGCCGGGGGAAAATGGTCTCGTGCTGAATAATCAGGCATCAGTCCAGTATATTTTCCGACTGCGACCCTCTTGTAGTCATGAATACTTTGACATCTTTCCCAACAAGGTATCCACTTTCAAATACCTTGGTGTGAATTTGTCATCAAATCTCTCTTTTCCCCTCCATATTGAGACCGTTTTTCATGCATCGTTTACGCTCCTACCACACACCTCAATCCTTAATCTGGCAATTCATAGATGCCTGCATTCTTCCTTTTATTTTTTATTATTCTCCTGTCATTTTTCCTTTTCTGCTCAAAAAACATATGTTGATTTTAGGACGAGTCATCAGAACGCTCTTTTCTGCCGCCAGCGGTTCTTACGTCCTTCTATCCAATACTAGCACACAACGACATTTCAAAACGGCCAAGCAATTTGCTGGTCGAATTCTGGAGGACGCTGCCCACCACCTGCATTCTGACCTGATCTCTGCGAAGTCCTTCCGTTCCATGCGCCGTGACTTTCGACATATCTATTGCCGTGCATCGACATATTGGCATTCTGTATTGCCGTCCCTGACTCACTATCTTACGTGTGAAGATATAGAAATACAGAAGCTAAGACTTGAACTGTTCCCATTGTAGTCGTTTCTTTCTATGTAAAGCCTTCTGACTCTTGAATAATTTGTTAGCTTATATTCCGTCCACCATGAATGGAGCTCTTTTTGCAGAAAACTCTGAATCAATACTTCAAAATACAACGAATTCCGCACTCTCCCTCTCTCTCATGCTCCTCAATGAAACCATAATATCTGGATTTAGTTCGGTTTACAGAATAAGAGAAAGGTAAAGTAGATATAATGCATATGGGTACTAATAAAAACCTAACATAGTCCTGCACTAGAAATAAGGTATCTTTTGCTGATCTCATGCTCCTCCGCGATCACAGCTCAAATACAGTCTGTTGCAGCACATTACCAGCGGCGAATGATGAAAATGTTGATGTGGAATTGAAATGTTTTCAGGTAACTGACGTGACAAGAGGCACTTAAAAGATCGCTGTCTAACGGTCAGTATTGAAGACATTTAAGTCCTGCTCTAGTCTGTACGCAGCAATGAAAGTAAAGGTCACAGAGCAGAACGCACACTCCACTGTACCTGTAAAGTGACAAGGGAAAGAATGGTCTAAAGTTATCACGGAAGAGCCAGATCAACGGCACAAGCTATTTCTCTGCACAATTCCTCTATTTTGCACGAGGACCAAGTTACTCGAGTTCGCTTATGAAAGTGGGAATATTGTTTTGGGTCAAGGCATTGTCTGGAAATGCTTTGCAATTCGGGATTTGGTATCATTATCTGATAGCAACAGATGAGTCAGGAAAGTTCACTCCAGCTTCTCCCCCCATCTCAGTAAAACTGCTCAGCTATAGCGCAGCCGCTGTCTGAGGGTACTCAAAAATTGCAGCTTCTTAATTTCCTAAGAAATTATCCGCTAACTTGAGGTAAATCAGTCTGTTTGAGATCTATAGATTCAGAATGAAATATAGTATTAACATTTGGGCCGCATTCCATCAGTTACAGCGCAATAACCACGCAATATTCGTAAAATTCCAACAGGCAGCCAATAGTATGTACATGGGTTGCACAGCATACCATACTTGGGAGCGCAGGTACTAGCTAAAAGCCCAGGCACATGTTTCGGCGATATTCTGCCGCAGCTGTGAGGGATTCGGCTCATCACTGAGTCTCCCAGCATCCCCCGTGTGTTTTCTGGTAGATGCCATAGTTTTAATGAGAGCTCAGCTTCTTACTTTCCTTAGAAATTAATCGCCTACTTGGGATAAATCAGTCTAGTTGGGACTTATAGACTCAGGCTGCAATTTGGCAGGTCTAAAGTAAACTGATTTACTTCAAGTTAACTATTGTTTTCTGCGTAAATTAAACAAACCGCAATGCAAACAGTGGAGTATCTAGTAGAAGGTACAAGGGAAACTCTAGGGGACACACTGATGAGCCCAACCCCCCGCAGCTGTGTTATGAAGCGGCAGGATACCAATAAAACACGTGCCTATGCTGCCAAGTATGGTATGTCGTGCAACCTAGGCGCTTAAAAAACCGAAACGCCTGCCCAGCAACAATACCGTGCTGAGCACTTCCAAAATCGACTGACCTGTCAATTTCCGCCATAAAAGATTCTTTTAATAGTCGTTTTGTAAAAATGATACTTTTCCCTAGCATTTCGCCAGTGGGAGTGCGACAAGATTTGACCTCTGTTTCATCTATACATAGATCACGAGGTTTAGGTAGTGGATCAACTTTGAGTTCTTATAAAAGTCTGGTTATTTAATAACACAGTTCCTCTCTCTGTGTACATAATATACTCAGAAACGGCAATCGACCAAGTTTTATGCATTTATGGTATTCTTTATTCTTTTTTGTAGTCTATTTCTCCCTGCTGATTAGATCGTGGCATCCTTTTAATCGTAACTAACCCAAACTGCATTACAGACATACTGTCCGAAGAACGTCTACCGATTCGTCTTTACTGATATCTTTAGCCGTTACTCAGCCCAAGGTATGTCAAAAAGGAGTCCAAAAACTATTTTTGGAGAGATATTTGTAAACAGGGTCAGATAGGGTTTTTTATATTGTATTTTGATCGGCTGAAAATACAGCAAATGTGAACACTGCCACAGAGAATTTTGTGTCTATTCCTGATCAGGATGAGTACAAAGTCAAGCTCATTGACTCCAACATGCGTCCAAAAATACAAACACTTTTCTTAACGCAGACAATGAGCAATAACCCTTGTCTCAGAGTATGCTCTCGCACATCTGCGACGTTTATGGATTACCGGCCACTGGCCGTTATCATTTATGTGGGCTCTTGATAAAAGACCCAAGGTCCAATGAAAATGTTATTTCAGTCCCGAGTCCGGATTAACTGGTGAACGCAAATCTTATGATAGTATTGTTTTGGTTAAGACACTCTTAGGCAAAAGGTGTATCAAAAAAGGTAGATCATATGCGCACTGGAAACCACGGTTCTTGATTGGTCCAAATAATTGCCTGGCAGCGATGTAGAGGCGAATCCAAGCTTGATCTATGTTTGGTTAAGCCGAACAGCATATAAGAACGGACACTTTATCGGTTGAACCCAGTAATAATCTGGGTGATCCAGTACAAATTTTTGTATATCTTTTAGATATTTGTTATTATGTAGTCCAAAATTTTATGGAAGATGTCTTAAACCTTGATTCTTAAATTCGATTCTGCACCACTGACACTCATTTACAACGAAAGCGATCAAACAAAACGAAGAGGGAAGGTCCCTTTAGCTTTATATTTTAAAACGTCATCATAAAGGTAAGCTTGCTTGTTTCCCAAGATTGAGGCTTCTGAGGTGGACTGCAGTTCGGAAACAGGATAACCGATGCAAGGCCGTATGCGGATGTAAGCTACAGGGATTTGCAAAGAGGATGGCAGATAGAAAGCGCGGGCAGAATGATACAGTACTGTTTCGGACTTATCCTGTCTTCATTCAGCCAAACATAATCCTAAACGGCAGCGTGGACCAGAAACATGTTATGACATCGGACTACTTACTCCCTCCCGTATTACACGTGTCCTAGCTCTAAATTCCTAGGTATCTTCAGGTTATGGTTAGAGTTGTTCGGGTTATGGTTAAGGTCTGAGCTAGGGTCCCTGCTAGGGTTTGGACAAAAAAGCCATCCCGAAATTCAACACAGGGTCACCTGTCATATGGGGGCACCTCGTCTCGTGTCCTGCCTACTATAATTGTAACTGTTTCCTCCGTAGTACAGTGAGTGACAGATCTCCTGACATTTTTACCGAAAGTATGAAATGCGTTTTGATTAAGAAGAATTACTGAACGAATGTGTAATATTAGTCATCTTACAGCATAATCCCATGATATTTCGGACATGCCAGGATGGTCGCTTTCAAATGTACTTTTTTCCGTCACGGGCAAAACCTTACTTAGTAAAAAATAACTACTTAATCAGCATACATTCTTTCTGTTGATCTTTGATGCTCCTATATTAAAAAATGTTTATAAACCACATGCACAAAAGCTTTCTTCCTTGTACGCATTTGGTAGCCAATCATGTCTTTGGTAAATTTTACACTCCAGAAAAGCGTACTTCGGGTCCTAAAAATCTTCTAATTATTAGATTTTTAGGACTTTACGGCTTCCACGCAAAACATCTGTTTAATAGTGATCCTCAATAAGTATGCAACATAGTCCACATCAGTTAAAAAAATCCTCTGATTCCCGTGTTGTATTTTCTTGAAAACAAAGAGGAGTATGTGTTTTTCCTCACACGGGAAGTAAACACTCTGTAGACTGAAAACCCTAACTGCCAATGCAACGGCACATCGGGCTCGTAATTATTCAAGGACCAAAAATCTTTTTAAAGTCGAAAGATATCTTTTCCTTGAGTGTAAGATTTAATGAAGACGTGAATGACTACCAAGTGCGTACGAGGAAGAATGTTTTTGTGCATGTGTTCTGTAAACATTTTTTAAAAATATACGGCAGCGAAGATCAACAGAAAGAATGCATGCTGATTAAGTAATTATGTTTTTACCAAGTACGGCTTTGCCGATGACCGAAAAACTTCATTTGAAAGCCAACATCCTGGCATGTCTGAAGTATCACGGGATTATGCTGTAGGATGACTAATATTACACATTCGTTTAGTAATCCTTTCTAGTCTAACACGCACCTCAGAATTTTGATTAAAACTTATTGAGACTGGTCCCCGGCTGTACGCATTGAATTCTAAAGTCGAACATAGTTATTCGTATGTTGTAGGTGAAAACTGATAGCTCAGTTTCCCTCAAGGGGGTTAAACAGAAGGAAGTTCACGTACACATTTAAAACCCTGGTTTTTGTTAACTGTATATTGATATTAGTAAAAAATGCCAAACCTAGAATATATGTTTTCTTAACTGCAAATCATGAACCAGCATTAACCATTAACTCGTCTAGATTCTCTACTGCCGTCCCATATAAACTGTCCTGAATTTGCGAAAATTCATCTTAGATTGATTTACGAAGTCATCCGAAAATGGAAAGTCACTAGCACTTGAGTACCCGTGCGTATTTTAATCTACAATTTAATCACCCTGCTGCAATGAAATTGTACACATTTAATTAAGCCTGACTAAATATGCGGCGTATTTGATGATTTGTTGTTTGATACAGTCATTCGAAGTAAAATTGTGTGATCAATGTCTTGGCCAACTCAAAATAAAATGCAGACTTAAAAATAAATAACTAAAGTGCTATATCTTTAACTGGGAATACTTTACTAAATCAAAATATATTTTATTCTCCTTAAAAATCTTATCTAAATGGTAGCAAAAACAAATGTTGCATTTTTCCGCATGCTACAGTTTCGGAGATGAATGCCACCGCCAAGGTCGCCCGTTCTCAGAGTGTTCTATTTAACGAAATGACTTAAAATGATAGAAAAAATTTTCCTTCGTTGGCGAGACATCAGACGTATCTGGTGGAAGCTGTAACCCCGCCCTGCCCATTTTCTATGATAATTTGTAGGGCGGGAGTTCGAATGCCTCTGTGCGAAAGATTGGTCCGTATCTGTATGACAAACGTAACTGTCTAGGCACAACTTTCAGTGCATACATTCGACTTTCATGTTTGGTATTTGGAATTGATTTTCCCCGCTCCAGAGAGGGAATAACAAAAATTCGCTTTTGACATTATCCTGGTCAATACAGACGCCAGCGGATTCGGGATTGCCTCTGCTCATGCGTTAGTGCTGCCCACCATTCATTCTTATTTGAGGTCGTTTTTAATTATGAAATAAGATCCATTTTTCGTTGTGGGTTGGGAGTTACTGTTGAAACCGCTCCTTTCTATTTCTGACAGTCAGTAACGAACACTTTCATATGTCCCATAATTCCTAGTAGTCCGTTAACTCCTGTGATACTCAATTGATCAATTCTGTCAACTGACTATCATGGTAGGCGCTAGAGGGAACGTTTAAAGCATTTATGAAGGTTAAAAGTATCCTTTATGGCTTGACTTCTACAACAGCAACAGCAACAACATCGGCCTACAGTTTTACACCTAAATAAGCAACAAACAGGACACCTTTAAGCCAAAGAGAGACCTCGACTTTCAGCTCAAAATTGTCATTTTTTAAGAGACTGTATGAGAAAACTGGGCATTTTTTGAAACCTGCTAATGTTTTCTTCCCAATTTGAACGGAGAGAGCCGTTTTCACGTTGACCTTGCTTCAACCCTTCAAGAACCTTGCCAAACTCGGTCCAAATAATAGTACAAGAGCGAAGTGTCCAAATTCCCACACAAATTCCGAATATTTTTAGTTGTCGGAGCTAGTTATTGTTAAATCGGGCATTTTCACCATAACTGTATGCTTTGTCTAATTGAAAAATCTAACTGAGCGCTGTCAGTGATTTAGCTTGCTAGACGACTTACTTTCTTGTTTTGCACAAAGAACTTCTAGCCCCTTGGTAGTTCGTTAGATGCCATATTTTATGAAATGTTAATAAAAATTCTGAAATGCGTTTTCGATTTAAAAGGTTACTCAGGTGGAGTCGTAACATTAATTATCATGCAACATAAGGCCAAGATTCTCAAGTTAGCCAGGATTAAAGCTTTTGAATGTCCATCTTATCAGCTGCCTGAAAAACTTTGCTAGGCAAGAACTGGCTACATATGATGCATACATTTGTTGCTGATTTTCGATGCCATCATAAATTCTGACACTTTTTAGGAAACAGACGCAAAATATCCTATCGTATGTCCATTCGGTAATAATCGACGTCCCCTTTCAATTTCATGTTTGAGGAAAGGGTATTTTTCGGGCTTGAAAAGGTTTTTAATTGTGACTTTTTCAGACCGTAAAATTGCGGTTCATAAATCATCTCGTCTCCTCACCTATGGGTGCCGCTTAAGAAATATACAACATGGTCCACGTCCACTGCATACTTTTATGAGCTATGCTTGACATCTTCTGAATAGTATGAATAGAGGCATCGTTTCCGTTGGCTTGCAGATTGGAATTCTGAATACAAGTACAACGTCAGGACGGATTAAAATGATTCGGGATTTGACAAATTTTAAAATCCAAAAATACTTTTCCATCAAGCATGAACTTTGAGAACGAAAATTCGCTACGAAACAAGCAGAGGAGAAAATGTATACGCATGTTTTCTACAAAACATATTTGATTTAATAAAAACACAGACAACTAATGGGAAAAACTCATACTACTTATCTGGCCATTTGTCGGAGACAACCGGAAAGAAGCTCGCGTTAAAACCAAAGTGCCAGCGAGCTTGAAATATCATTCGAATTATGCCGTATGATAATCAATATTACAGCCCTGTCCAAATAATCTTTTCGAAGCAAAAACACATTTCAGAATTCTACCTCCAGTCACTTGACCCTTCCACAGCAGTATTTACAACGCCATCATGTTCAGATTCGCAACTTTGCTTAAAGTGCGCAAAGAGGCTGGCATCTTCAAGAATGGCCAGGGAGACCGGAACAGTAAGCGTCTCGGTCTAACTTGTGTACTTTCAGTCATACATATTTCTAATGAACACGTATGACCGACATAGGTGACACAGATAACCTGCAGTCGGCAAAACTTAGGGTACATCTCATTCCTCCGCTAGTCAGTTTTTGGCAAGTTAGTTGAACATTTTTTGTTTGTTTAGTACGAGTCGAATTAAAGGGTTATTTTTGTGTGGCTGAGCTTTATGAAATTTAAAGTGCATTTTGCACCTCGGGTCCATGAATACCGACGTTCTAGTATGAACCTTACTTCACTGTGCCATATGGAATCGCATCCTGCTTATGCAACACAGATGTGAACAAACAGAAGGCTAAAGCGATCTGACCAGCTATTTTTGCTCCAGTGAAACTGGCAAAGGTGTTGAACCCTCCCGATGAAGCTCAGTGCATCGCGAAACTACCCATAAATAGCCCTCATATCGAGCAAAATTCATTTCCTGTGTTCGTTCACGAACAGACATTTCCATACTGGGTTCAACCAGGCGTCGCATTCTTTGCCCAACGATCGGTCGTCTTGCCAATCAACATGACCATATAAGGACAGAAAGAACATGCTTAGAACAAAGCATCGACTGGGGTTTGCGTGTCATGGTTTTAATTATTAATTACTGAGGTCACAGATTAGTCAGGCATAGTAGAAATTCACACGCTTGCGTGATCATGTTACAGTCATGGGGGAAGAATTAAGCCTGTCTAAAACTCCTCACTGATTTATGTGGTTAAAAATTAACAAGCACAGTAAACAATTAATCAAGTATGTAGTCATCTGTGGTCACCACTTGGGTAAGTGCACATAAAAGAAAGGAACAAGTCGGGCGAATGAATTCCCGCCCTGTGCATTAGCGTGCATGTGTTGCTTGTTCTTGCCTGTGGACCTAACCGAAAGCAAATGTCCGCTACTGACACTCCCATGAAGAAATCAATGTTTCCTTTCCATGTGTCAAGAAGATCTCAAAATTGATCGACACAGAGCGCTGTTTAGAACGGCAATTCGCTGACGAAAATCGCCCCATTTTGCGAAAGAATGAAGTGGAGCAGCTACACCTCCTTCGAAATCACCATTGTTGTCAATCTCATCAGAAGCTACAGCGCATTCTCGAGGGACAGTTAATACCTTCTACAATGGCTTGGGTCTATCTCGTCAAATTTTCATCATTAATCAGAAAAGGCTTAGCACCATGCTCAATAGATCTTTCTTGAAAAGATTGTATCAATAATGCAACTTTCTTCATCTTTGTAAAACATTTTGAAAGTACAAAAGACATTGCATTATCTCGTTCATTTCTGCGGCTCCATGTTTAACAAGAAGCAAAGCTACGTTCGAGGATCTCCTTATGAGCGAGCCCTGGTAAGAATTTTACTGTTTTTTTCATTCGTTTGACTGATGAAAACCGAAAGCACGTCGTCCAAAAAGCACAGACGAGATGAGAGCGTTCAGCATGAACCCTATTTCTTCCGAATTCCCTCTCAAAACATTCAGTAGCGTTGCCTGGAGGCAACAGAGGATGTTTTCGAGTTCTTTCACGCGCGTCGGAAAAGCTATGTACTCAATTAATTTATAACATGCTTACATATCCCTCCATCAGTTTCCCTGCCGAATACAGGGCATTCGACTATTTCTTTCCCTAGTAGAAACAGAGTTGACTCTCAAACATCGTGCGTGGAATTTGACAGGACTATTTAGCACTGAGACAGGTATGGAATGACACTCGAATCTCCGACTTATTCCTATCCTCATCATCTACAGCGCTTCATCCGGCAGGGTTAGGTTAAAGCGATGTGGGGTCAAAATCAGTATCGTGCTTATTGTAGGCTTTTTCCTATTGAATTTCGGAAATGATTTCAAACAACGTTCGAATATCACATGTAATTCATTGTCGTTTTAGTCAATCCCATTTCTCAAAATGAATTTCTGCTTTCCGGACGCCTTCTAAGCTTGAATCTCCCGAATCATCTCTAGGATGCTTTGAAAGACTTTCCAGAAATATCCAAATCGCATGCTCTTTACATAAACTTCCCGATAAATAGGCGGGAAGGAAGTTCTGTCTTCTTCCTTCAACAAAGGTATCTTCAATCGCATGTCTGATCCCTCAATTAAAAAGGACAGGAAAGCACCCGTTTGGAATTATAAGTGTATGGTTCTCTCAGGAACAGTGGTGGTTTCGTAAATACCATCTTAATTAACCCTGACACTCTCCCTAACCGCACTCTCAAAGCCAATGTATTGACGTGCAATGGCTCATAAACTGGAAAGATTCGGTTTACGAAAGCTGTAAGTCACCTCCAACTGTTGACACTCCTTCATGCGCTTCTCACGTCCTTACCAGACACTTGTGCTTTAAGTGCAACGACTGAGATGATACTGACATGAGTACGCACTTATGAATGTGGCTCGAGTTGTGTACTTAACGGGCTGTTTACTGAGTCTCCACTACTGACAGTGAATCACCGTTTCCTCCATTATTTGTTTACCGGTGCATCTCAAGCTTAGCAGTCTCAAGATATTCGCAAACACTTCTCTCTGTGTAATTAACTGCGATTCAATTTACTTATTACTATGATGAACAGACTGTGCCAGCCGCTTTGGCTAGTTCACGAAAAATCCGTTGGAATTTCATTCTGGCATAAAGGGCTGGTTTCCTAAAACCCCCCTCGGTCTTTGTGAAAGGTTCTTCGGCCCTCAAATTATAAACAGAGGCTAGAATCCCCAACAATTCAGGGTTCGGAGGATTTAAGTCTAATACTTTCAGTAGAAAAAGACTTTATGAACTTAAGCATGCGTTCCTGTTGGATCTCCCTTCTTCTTTATCTAAAAGCATAGACCAGAAATAACTATGAAGATGGCGTTCCTGCATCCTCTGTTCTTTGAATTACAACTTTCAAGAGATCCGAAGACAATCGCCCTGAAAACCTCCTGTAGTTTTTGAGCATCACGCCTTGGACATCTTTCTTGCGCACATCAGAGGCAGTATTGTTTCACGGTTTCCGCTTTTCGATTACTCATTTTTCTACGTTTGAGGAAGATACATGAGACCTGTTGGTTTGTTTTGACTTTTAAAAAAGTGACGGCTTTTTACTAGGATTTGTTTGGACATTTTCTGACCACGGTCCCACTGCACAAAAAGGTGGCCTTTAGTTAGTGCCAGAGGTTTGAAATCTGCCCTTTGAGAGCAAGTGCAAACCTCCGAATCCTCGGGGACAGTCAGACCAAAGAGACTCTTGGCTGTGAGGGACGACAGGAATCCAAGACAGATGAGCATTGTTCGCAGAGGCAGAATAAGGAAATTAGGTTAATGCGGCAGGAGGCCTACCAACAGCATGCGTTGATTGACAAGATATTGTGTGCGCAGGCGCTAACAATGCGAGTTAAATGAAGCAGCAAGGAAAGAGGGAAGGATAGTTTCTCCTACTTAGTGCAAATGTCCCCTTCGGTTGCTGACAGGTACTGTTGTTTTTGATGAGGAGGGGCTTCGATATATAATTGCTCACCCGCACGGAAAGGCTAGGAAAAAACGCCAATTTTTGCACTCCTGAGCAGGACAGGAGCAGGCTGATTACGATACCAGAGTCAGCATGTGGGTTGTGCAAGTCACCGGGGTGGGACAGTCAAAAAGTTGGTTCATCCAAGTATCCACACTGGGTTGCGCCATCTTTAGTGATTTAAAACGGTCGCGCAAACGGAGGTCACGGTTCGATTGGCGAATAAGCCAAATCGAATATACGAAAAAACCCCACGCATACCTCGCTTCCGAAGGGGTTTGCGAAGAGCAGGTTGAGTAGGGTTAGGAGACGAACACGCATAAATGAATCATTCTGCAGTGAACAGAATGCAGCTTCAGAGAGATTAATCGGGGTGTTTATGCCCTCACAGCAGCATCGATTTCAGCAAAAGGCCGCATCGTAAGATACGCCAAATCAGAACGGCGTCGGTCTGGCTCGCGGCGCGCATCTATCGGGCTGCACTGAGTCTGCGCGAGTCCATAATGGTTGCCGTGCATACGCATGTGTGTGTGTGTGTGTGCGTGTGTGTGTGTGTGTGTGTGTGTGTGTGTGTGTGTGTGTGTGTGTGTGTGTGTGTGTGTGTGTGTGTGCGGAGCACCGGGGTGTAGGGGTGTCCAGCGGTGGGTAGTAGTAGGTCGCTCACACGCTTGCAGGCGCAGACTACGCTTAGCGTCCATCTGCTGGCACCCAACTCTCATATGCGGCTCACCGAAGCTGGGTTCTGCCTGGCGGCAACGTCCCGATAACCGCCTCGACTGGCGGGCTAAGCCAGGTGAGGCCATCCGCGAGTGCATCCGCGCGCACGGCCATAAAGACTCCGCTGGCCGGATGGATAGCCGCATTGGCCTCGTCGTGACGAGGCTCCGTCTGGACAAACATAGGAGGCCACGAGGTTGGTGAGCCCCCCAGGTAAGCGAACGCTGCTCTGCTGCCTTTGCTCTGCTTGTTCTTGTTGCCAGCTCTCTGACTGTTTTTCTGTGTTTGTTGAAAGCTAATTGTCGCTCCGTCGGGCTTCCGGCGTCGCCTTTGCTTCGTGCTGTCATTGCCTGCCTGCTTTTATCTGCTTCTTCGTGTCTGTCCTTACCATAAGTTAAATGTCACTCTGTTAAATATGCCTGCTCCCCACTCCTACTTCACCTTCCAGAAAATCTAGAGCTGACGGGAAAGCAATGCTTTTCATCTCTCTACTTTCGCTTACGCGTCATCGTAAGCAGTTCCAGACTAACTAGAGTCGCTCTCCCAATAGACAAAAGTCGTGGCCCATAGTGGATTCCAGCAGTCGGCTGGGACAACTGAGCAGCCCTATTTAGCAATTGCACTACTGACCACCACGAGGAGGAAAGGGCTAGAAAATGTGCTCAAAACAAATGCTGAGAACCACGCCGTCTGCAGGTTGACCGTGACCGCAGACGCAAACCGTACGGTCGAAACAATCAACATCGAACCAACAATCTCCCTTACTTCTCCTACTCCCTCTTCTTCTTCTTCTTCTTCTTCTTCTTCTTCTTCTTCTACTTCTCCTCTTCCTCCCCACCGCCCCACTCACCAGACTGGTAATGTGAGCCCGCTCACTCTGGCAGCCTGGAATGTTCGTTCTCTTTTAAACAATCCGAGCAGCAACCGACCGGAGAGGACAACGGCGCTAATGGTTCGGGAACTGGCGCGCTACGAGGAGGACATCGCAGCATTCAGCGGGGTCCGGTTCTCTGAACAAAACCAATTGGAGGAGGTGGACGCCGGCTAAACCTTCTTCTGGAGCGGTCGCCCCAAGGCAGAGCGACGGAACGACATCGTCGAACGTTTGCCGTGTCTGCCGCAGGGTGTCAACAATCGTCTGATGAGCCTCCGCCTGCCTCTCCAAGAAGGCAAATTCGCCACCATCACCAGCGTCTACGCTCCCCCGATGACCAGCCCCGACACCGCAAGGGACAAATTCTACGAGGACCTACACGTCCTCCTGGCGACTGTGACAAACATGGATACGTCGACTGTCCTTGGTGACTTAAACGCCCGCGTCGGCACAGAAGACCATGCTACCTGGAGAGGAGTGCTAGGACGCCAAGGTCTCAACTGCTCCAACGACAATGGCCTGCTCCTTCTCCGCATCTACGGAGAGCACCGACTCATCCTGCCCAACACATGCTTCCGCCTCCCGATGCGAGAGAAGGCCACCTGGATGCACTCTCGGTCGCGTCAGTGGCACCTGCCTGGCAGTCCCCGTCCGGAGGCAAGACCAGCGGGATGTGCTGGTGACAAAGGCGATTCTGAGTGCTGACGGGTGGACCGACCACCGCCTCGTCATTTCGAAGATGCGGATTCGCCTACAGCCTCCCAAGAGACCTCAAGGAAAGCGACCCCCAGGTAAGCTGAATATTGGCTTGTTGTCTTTTCCTGCTCACCATCTCCACGTCGGCAACGAGCTAGCTCATCGGCTAGACAATCTTCCAGTCGCTGCCGCCGCCGCTGAAGAGAACGTCTCCGTGGAGCTCCGATAGTGTCAACTGCGGGAAGCAGTCCAGTCGACGGCGCGGGCCGTCCTCGGTCGCGCACGCCGCCAACACCAGGACTGGTTTAATGACAAGGACGCCACCATCAACAACCTGCTCGCCGAGAAGAACCGCCCGCACAAAGCCTATGTCGACCACCCCATTAACGACAACAGAGCTGCGTACTGCCGTAGTCGTCGCCTTGTACAACAGCGGCTGCGCGAGATGCAGGACACCTGGACGGCTCACATGGTTGAGGAGATCCAAGGGTAAGGCGTCCTCAACCGCCCCTTCATATCTGACGCCGCGATCGTCCGTCTGTCTCAAAAGGAGACCAACGTCGAGCCCGACCTCCCGCCTTCTCTTCACGAAACCATTAGGGCAATGCAGCAGCTCCCCAGCAGGAAATCGCCCGGACCGTACGCGACCCCTGCTGAGATCTACAAGCACGGTGGCCCCCAATCATGGATCACCTGACTGCGCTCTTCCATGAGATGTGGCGTCAAGGAAAAGTCCCATAGGACTTCAAGGACGCCACAATCGTGCACCTCTACAAACGGAAAGGAAACCGCCAGATCTGCAACAACCACCGAGACATCTTTTTGCTGAACATCGACGGGAAGATCTTCGCTCACATTCTTCTCAACCGCCTAAGCAACCACCTGGAGCAGAGCCTCCTGCCGGGCAGTACCCTCTCCCGCAGCACCAAAATCGACGACGAAGTAGCCCGCCGGATTTCCAAGGCCAGTCAAGTTTTCGGTCGTTTTTGAAACGTAGTTTGGGATTGTCAAGGTCTTCAGCTCAGCAAGAAACTGAAGATGTACAAGGCTGCCATCCTCCCGAAGCTGCTGTATGGAGAAGAGACTTTACGGTGTACACGAAACAGGCACACCGACTCAACCACTCCCACCTCAGCTGTCTTCGCCGAATCCTGAAGCCGAGGTGGCAGGACCGAATCCCATACACTGACGTACTGGAGCGGACGGGAATTCTCAGCATCTACGCCATGCTGAGGCGACTGCAACTGCGTTAGAGCGGCTACGTCGTGCGGATGGACAACGAGCGGCCACCCGAACGACTCTTCTATGGAGACGTCGTCACGGGTTCTCGTCGATGAGGAGGTCAAATCGGGCGCTATAAGGACACTCTAAAGACTTCCTTGGAACGTCTGAAGATCAGCCCGGCCAACTGGGAAGACCTCGGCCGGTACCGACCGACCTGGAGAAAGAGAGTGAAGACGGGCGGAGCGATCTAAGAGGCAAACTAGAAGTACGCAAATCTCAGCTGCACTCACCTCGCAACGCCAACGCCCAACCGCCCCCAACATGCCCACGGTGTCAGCGGACATTCCAGGCGTGAAATGGACTGGTTGGATACCTGCGGACCAACTGCAGAACTTGGATTGCACCAACCGTCGTCTCTCTGTCCACTTCTCTCTCGTCTCTCGCACCGTCAGCTAACTCTGACCGACCTCTCCAACCCCCACCTCCATCCTCCTCCTCCTCCTCCTGCTCCTCCTCCTCCTCCACGGCCTCAACGTCTCCCGCTGTGGCGTATTCTATGCCTATCAACACTATACACGATTCTGACACACCAACGAACACCAACATCACCACCCCCACCACCGTCAACACCAATGATGAGAATCTGGTCTATACCCGTCCTCATTGCGACCACACCACCTCACACATCGGTCTGGTCGGCCGCTTACAAATCCATCGCACAGACACTGGCAAACCAGTTCCTGGAACACCAACCTACATCCTCCGCATTCGCCACCACTGCCCACACTGCCCTCGCACATTCATGCGCTGTATAGGCCTATTCGGCTACATGCCTGTCCGTGAGAGCGGAATTGACCGCGGACCTGACACTCCTAGCGCACTCACCATGCCTAGCCCCGCCCACGCTCCGCAGACCAGCGCGCCCACCGCTGCCACCACCACCATCACCACTGAAGCTGATACTGACACCGCCGACTTCTCATGTCCACACTGTCCCCGCACATTCACCTCACGCATTGGCCTGGTCGGTCACTTGCGAATCCATCGCATAGAGACTGGCAAACCAAAGCCTGTAGCATCAACCTACGCTCGCCGCATCCGCCTCCACTGTCCACATTGCACTTGCAAATTTATTCACCGCATGGGTATATTAGGGCACATGCGCGTCAACGGAAACCTGCGGTAGACCACCGCCGGCTGTATCACACCATCACATCCTTCCCCACCAGCACCTCACCGCACATCAATCTCATCCACCGCAAACACCAAACCGCCATCTTCCACGCAAGTGGGAAACGTGCGTCTCGGCTTCTTCTCTTTGCGGCCCCTAGCTGCATGTGCAATCGGAGACGGAGACTGCCACGGTGCGTCGAGCGCCGTGACTCGGAAGGGAGCCGACTGACATCCCAACTCAGTCCACGCAGTCCGTCCAGTTGTGTTTGTGTGGAGTGGCGGACTGGTGGGCTCAGGGCAAGGCTGAAGCGGCTGCTTCTCCAGCGATCTGTTACACTCTCGTGTATGTGAGAAGAGTGTGTGTACTCCGCGGGTAGTGCCTCTCAGTCGACGACTGTTTGGTTACCTAACCTTGAAGGGAGACGATCAAGGCTAAATGCAGGACCACGTGTCACCCTTCTAGGCTAAAAGGCATGTAAGCGCGTGCTATGCCGGTATCAGCGAACCATGACCCTCGCAGCTTGGTATGCGCTGGCAGTTCCCCGACACCGGGTTACCTGCCGGTAGATGCGCTTGCGCTCCTGCTAGGTACACATGTAGTGGGCATGGCTGCCCAGTCATCTTTGTTGGGATGTTTTTGTTGTTGGCGAAAACCCCGTTCATTTGCTGTGTGGACTAGGGGGTGTGGTGACACGCCTAGATGTGGGTCCGGTCGTGCCAGCCATCCGCGTCCCACCCCCACCTCCGGTCTTCTTGACTCTGTCTTGACACCGGGTCCAGGTAGGAGATGGGGAAAAGAGAGTGTCGTAGATACTGTGCAAGTCTGTTATTACTACAAACCAATTCATGCGCAAGTCACCGTCCCTGTTCCCAGTTGGCTGTGGAGCACATGGTAAACATCGTTGAAACCGACGATCGAACTCTCGCGTAGAACACCTTGGCTGTTAGCCTTCACGTCTCGCCAATAACTGCGTCCATTTGCATCATCCCTTGTTTGAAAGAGTCAGGAATTCAGGTGGTGAATGGGAGAGGAAAGAGAAAGAGCAGAGCCGATTCTGGGGAGTCATCCATCCTCACGGTATTTCAGTGCATTACCTCACTAAGATAAGGCTGGCACGCTTGAATCTATCACGCCGCGCTAAGAATAATGTTTTGAAAGGTTGTCAACCGACATGCTCTGTATAATTGTCTCTAGCAAGATATCTTACGTGGAAAAAGGCTGAAATACACATTTCTGGATTTGAATTGTTCCCATGATGGTGGTACGGTTTTCATACACATCCATTTACCATCTTCTTTTTTATTAATTTGTGTTTGAGCCACTGGAATGAAGTTTTTGCTGCAAATGTTAGGATGATACATTCAAAATAAAACGCATTCGTCTTTCTCTCTCTTAACATATTTAAGGATATCAGAAAGAGACTCAGTGTACATTTACATCAACAGAGAAAACTGACTAAAAGTGCCCATACTGATGGATGATCAGCAAGCTGTTATTCGGAAAGTTTAAAGTAGTGGAAGGCCAGATATGCTAAAATGTCATAATCCACTCGTTCCGTGAATGAGAACAGGACTAATGGAGTCCTTATGAAGACTTCAACTCATTGACCATTGCAAGCGTTGTTTGATTTTCTTCCTCGTGCCTTTTGAGCATGTTCAGGATGTTTGAATCCAATACGACAAAGGATTCGTCCGTGGATGCTTCTGGAGGGCTGGGCTAAAGCGATGGAGAGTTACAACTGTAAAATGGTAAGTCCTCCGATCCGTAAATACAGCGGTTAGACGGAGCTCTAACTTTCCCTACCTCGTTAATTTTAATAATTATTCTTGCAAAATTGAACAAGCTCATTCTAAAAACGATACGAATATTTCGAAATTTCAGGGTTTTGAAGGAAGGCGTAGGCGTTAGTAAACACTTCAGCAGATGCTGCCTGGGCATGAAGGAAGTCCCTGAGGAAGTCCGTACTTAGTTGAACGAGCATAAAAGTGGACTTATTGAATTACTGCGCGAAATAGCGTATAGCGGAGAATCTGAGGAGAGATGGTTGACGTCAAGTAATTGCTTGTGTCACTTGCCCTACTGTTGAGTTGAGTCTGTGCCAGGTCTTAACTACTGAGGGAAAGGCGCGCGTTGGATGAAGATTCATGGCACGTCACCACTGCGCTCACATTCATCGCCAGTCATCTGAGTAGACCATAAATTCCCTCATAAAAATTCAGCGCATCTTTAAGTACAGTAAGTGTGAAACTGCAGAAATATCACGGCGGTTTAAATACCGTGGTTTGGAAGCTCGACAACTCAGCCCTCCTAGGAGATGAAGGTTTAACTGCCTCTGTAACATGCCTCAGAGCTGGGAAACTCTAAATGCCTCCCTACCAGGGAGCCTCGTTCGTGTTAGTTGGAAACCAGGTCTTGTGTGTCACGCAGAGACCGGCTGTATGGCTTTATCAGAAACTGTACCAACACCCAGTCCCAGTCTTCTTGACTTAATCTCATCATTGGAACATGGTGAGTTTGGGACCAGACAGGACGGCACGTGCGATGAAAGTCAGCGTCACTATAACCAAATTCATGCGGAAGCTGGCACTGCGTCCTGGGGGCTTTAATGAACCTCGTCGCTTCCACAAGTCGAACTCCTGTTTGCGCCATGTGACCCAGCGCTGGGTTCTCCAGCGAACGGTAAAGGTCGACTGCGTTCGCAGTTTAACACGCAATGCTACAATCTGAAATTTCTGCTTTCTAAAGTAGACTTAGCCAAATTGGCGTCGTTTTCTTTAGAAAAAATGCCATACCTTGTCACGAGGAATTGCTGGCTTGCTCTTTCGATTGGCGATCTCTCTCAGGCGCTTGGAATATTCCAGCATCTAAATTAAATATTTTAAGGGAAAATGGTATCAGAATTTTGCACAATGAGAGCGATTAGAAAAGCGTGACTACAGTTCTCATCTTTAACAAACGGGTTGTCATATTTCAGCAGGTGTACACAGGAATCATAGTACTTTGGTGGCGCCATGAGAGCCGAAAGGTATACATGAATACATGTTTATATTCCACAAAACATTTTCTAAACTCCACTTCTTCTTCATCAAAATAATTTAGTTAAGCTGCTCCTATGACTTTCTATGGGTGTGTAACTAATTCTAGTGGAATGTTGATGATTAACAAACACTGGCCTGTTTTCGGTCTCATAAAATAACACAAAACGCGCATACTAGACAAGGCTGTCGCATTCTTAAGATGGGAAAGGTTTGAGGTAACTAACCTTATAGTCTACGAAAAACAAACGATGTACTATTACTGCACTTGATGTCGAACAAAGTCACCCGGACTGTCCTGTTTCAAAAAAGTCAAATAGCCAGTCCTGTCTTACAAAAACAACAAGTCAGACGATCAAGTCGCAATTATTTTTTGATGTTGCAGACTATAGGATGTGCAAAATACTTGTATCCAAAATACTCCAAGTCAGTTCTATCCTAAGATACGCAGGCGAGCTTTTCGGCATAGTCAGCAGAAACGAGAAGTTTCATGCCGAACTTGATCTCAGATCTGCCATGTTTGATGTTGGCTAAGACATATGCTGGGGATGATTAAGGCACGGAAGCGTAAGAAAATCAATTTCTCAGAAGCAAACCGCTCATATTGTAATATCTAACTTAATGTAAACCTGAAAATCTGGAAAATATCATTTACACGTTTTTTTAAAAACATGCTCAACACTTTCACTGTCCCTTTAAAAAAAACTATTTAAAAGTCTCAAATTACTGCAACTGTTTATCAAAAATTAGCGATCTTGCTTTATGGTCGGTCAAAGCTACTAGGAGGACTTAGTTCTCTGCTAATACAGTCATTTTGACTCGTAAATCGTTATAGACGTTACTTGAGGGCTATCTGGCTGAATAAATCGTGCCTCCGTCCCCTGCCTATTTATGTGAACTATTGAGCAAGCCTGTATTCTTTGAGGCACGTAGATGCCGTTCTCGATCAGTCACAGCTCCAGCCAACACCTGCGACTGGATGTGGACCCATGCCTGCAGCTGCAACGCCCACAGCCCGCAGTTAGGGTCACACGCAGGGGTCAGTAGCGTCATAAATCCAGGCTTCATGGCGTCTTTTCCATCAGCCAGCCTGTCTGTCGACTCAGGTCGGGTACCTATTCACGCGGTGAGTTTTGTCCGGTGGCGCCTGTCGCCTGGGGTGTCACATGACGAAAAAAGTATGAATAAGCCTAAGATGATTTCCATCCCAGTCTTTCCTATCTTTGTCGTTTTTACGCCTGGTGTAGAACCAACGATTCTAGGGCATGGTGATTGCATTTGAGCAGGTGCTCAGTCGGTATCGAAAGATTTGCTCAAAGTTTGCGGATTAGTTTCCTCGGAAATTAAACAAGACAAGTTGAAACTGGAGTTCATATGCCAGAAAACACACCCGGAAAGCTGGGGGACGCACTGACGAGCCGAATCCCTCGCAGCTGAGTCAGGCAGCGGCATAAGATCGGCGAAACACGCGTGTCTGGGCTTTTACCTAATACCTGCGTCGTTAGTACGGTAAATCATTGCACAATTCTATACTTCCGGCTGCCTGTTGACGGTTTGTGAATATTAGGCGGTTTTTCCGCAGTAGCTGAGGAATTTCAGCTCAAACATTCATATCAGACTTTGGACCGTGCCTGAAAAGGTCGCCTTCGAAAGATTTGCTCCAAGTCCGCGCATTAGTTTCCTCGGAAATTAAACAAGATATCGACACAGCCTACGGCTTTGGCTAAAAGGGGCCAACTCTCTTAGGCTTGAGCAGTTTGTCACGTAGGGAGGGGGGGGTTAGCCTGCAATGAAGTCTTTGACCAACTTTACCCGCAGTTTCAATGCTTCTGAGAGGACTCGATAGGCCCTGAAAATATCAGGGGAGCGAATTCGGAACCTGGCGAGTTCTTTCCCGTGGGCATCGAAATTTAAGAATAGATATTTCGATGTCAGGAGCACTCGAAGTCCGCTACCAACGAGTAAAATATGACCGCCGTCGATGCAGTACGTACGAATGACCTGCTCCAGCAACTGTGTGACTTTAAGGTCCCAGTGCCAGAAAAACGCCATATGTTAACCTAATTCTCGACAATTAATTTACTACAGGGGTCGCGGTGACCTGTCCGAGCATAAAAACAGCGTTACGCCGATCTTGTTAGAAAACCCCTCACGGATTAGGACGACGGTAGTTCCAGTAAGTTTTGTTGGCTCACCGCTGGCGCTAAAGCGTACATGTAAGCCCACTTACCAAAGTCCTTGAGCGCAGAATGGAAATAAAGACTAGAGTGCCGCTCCTACAGAAACTCAAGCGCTAATTTCGGTCGGCAAATAATGGCCTCTATTTTCTTCTCTCGAATAGAAGTTATCAGAAGGAAGTGTGTTACGCCTTGGCGTCTGCTCGGTATGTTTATCTAGAGTTTATTATCGTCTTGCTGGGAGGTGCCCCAAGACAGGACTGCGCAGCTGGTTCCTCAATGTGCTCGTGCGCAAACCGAAACACACAACCATCTTATTGTTAAATCCCGAAATTATTTTTCTCTTATGCGCCTAACCTCATGTTTTGAGACTTTTCTCTCTTTCCATAAAATAAGGAAGACGGTGTGGTGAAAGATCCAACGAAAGAGAGTCGGTCCTAAAAATTTTACAAGTATAAACTGACAAGCTTGAGTGACGGGATGTGCCTCGACATTGGTGAAATCCACGCCAAAGTTTAATAAAAATGTGACAATTTATAGGAGAAAAATGCTATAATTTTCCGACTTTTCAACACTAGAGAGCACACAGTTTTCCTAATCCCTGACATATTTTAAAGTAATCGGTCGGAAGTGGGGGGTCCTATTTTGTCAGTTTTACCCGCAGAAAAGATCAGAGGGACGTTTTTACGGCCAGAAAACCTAACTCGATTTTCCATAATTTCTCTCGTAGGTCACAAATCAGTACCACACGGACAGGTATAATGAAGAAAAATCGAGAGGTTGACTAATGCACATCGGTTTGGGTGAGTAGTCAAATCTTATCCCTCCTCCTATTCAGGGTCTCAAAAATAGTACTGACAAAACCTGACAGTTTTCCATTACGTAGAGTGAACAACAACTAGCCTCCTAACTTGCTGATGGCCACTGAAAGAACGGATCAAAGACGAATAATTAGAGAGGTAGTTTCTTCCGTCGACAGACCACACTAGCTTTTTACGGTAGGAAGTGCGTACAATTTAAAATTTAAGGGAAGAAGGAAAAAGTTTGGTAATGGTCTCACGAGAGCTCTTCTACTCTTCGGTTTGCTCCCCTGGTCAGATTCCGTGTTGCCTTCCGTGTGAGGGTGTAAGCCAGAACGATTATTCGGGCCAGTGCCAGTGGCAGCCCCGCAGCGCTCGAGTGCTGGGGATAATTTTGGGGAAGGCTTCATAAAGCATGAGGGAACTTCACCGCATTCGTCCCTACCAATGGAACTCTGCTGTGTGTTGGTGTACTCCGCCAGAGCCCGATGGGAGGCCATGGCGGAGGAGGTGAGGGGTGGCAGCTTGACCAGATTTTCACCTTTTCGCGTCAAACTTCGAATGGCATCTGCGTACGCGGCTTGCCGAGTCCGCTTAGCAAGCTAAAAATTTAGAACGCAGCATACTAGATGGAAGAGTTAAGCCGTAGAAGGGGAGACATTGAGCAGGGTAAACATGCCAAAGTAAACGTGTAAAGATCTCTAGGCGAGGGAAATACGCAAAACAAAGCAATAACTTCTTTTCACTTCGATAGCTGATCAGGTTGTTGATTCCTTAGGATGTAAGTCACTCATAGGGGTCGACTGAACGCCAGGTGGTAGACTGTCTGAGGAAAAGATTGAAGTACGGTGGGACAGTTGCATAAAAATATGTAAATTTAAGTTCTGCTTCGGAGGGAAGTTCATTTCAGACTGGTAACTAATGGTGTTTTTGCCTGCGGTTATGACCACCTAAGGAAATGTGGGCAGCAGTATCTTCACGGTCCTGCGCGGTGTTTGTTTCCGCTACTGTTCGACGCTCGTACATGATCAAAAACACCTACTCCTTTTAAACAGTAGTATTATAGTACAGAATTTTTAAAAACGACCACAACGACCAGAGTAGCGTCTGGACAAGCTATGGTTCTAACATCGCAAGCGACGATTTCCAACGTGTGCCTCACGGGACGGGATCGGCAGCGGCGACTTACGCGTGAGTTAGATTATAAGGAGCACACTTGCGCAGCATTTATCGAACTCTTTACTCCCTCGCCAACCTGGCTGCGGTAGGGGGACGAATTCACGACGACGGAAGGTGCCTCCGGACACGTTAGTTGTCAATACTAAGCAATCCGTCTACTTGTGTCATATACATGGCTTGGTTCTCAATGTAGGTGTGCCGAGCCACGAAAAGGTGACTAGAATCTCACACCGATGAGAATGACATAAAGGTCACATTAAGACGGTGCCATTTCCGCCTGACTTTTAGTCCTCAGAAGGATCGAATTATCCTGCCCGTTGGGAGTCTTCGACGGGCGTCTTTTAATTCGCCATAGTGGGTTCAAACGCGGCGGATTTGTTAGAATAAACAATGTACTGGTATGCCATGGCGATGATTTCTCCAGAGTCGGCCTCATTCTCTCTTGCCTCTTCCGCGCACCATTTGACTGCCCAAGTCTGTCAAACGGCTGGTGATGTGATTGGACGCAGTGACTGACAAGGCTGAACAGTCTACCTGCATGTGCCACGCACAACTTGATCCATACTCCATGTGTACCGGACTATACCAGCTAACATGCTTCGGAAGTAATAAAAGCTTGCATATTTTACATTTAACGTTTCTCCCGGTATAATAACATTCGCAAAGTGGAGCACATGTTTGATAGAGAAGGTAGGCATCGCGTGTTATGGGGAGGTGTTGCGTGTGCGCGTGCCATGGAATAGGTTACTTTGCAGCATAGAGGTGTACGTCCAGGTAGGGCAGGGAGTAACTATGGAATCTGGACGGTGGTGTTCTAGTGAAGATCTTATTTGATGTGCGTCTGACCGCAGAGGCTCGTACGACTGCCAAATGTCCCGGAACAGTGAGCAAATAAAACAAGGGGGACGGGTATTCGTTGGGGCTTCTGGAATCGGTTCGCCAGACACAGTACGAGGGATTTGTAAGTGACCGACCAGGGAGATACGTGATCTGAGTGTGCGATCGCAATCAGGACAAGTTGAATTTGGATCCGCGTTGCTGGTGTTGTCGTCGGTGACGGGATGGGACGAGTAGGTAAGTGGAGTGGTTTTCTTCCGGACTCTTTCGTTGATGACGACGCTCTGTGCGAGAAGTTTTGAGTTGAGCGGGTTGTCATAACGGGGGATCCAAAGATGTCCTACCGGGCCAATGCGTGACCTGAAGCCCAGTGGAGAATACGGACATGTTGGTGGGTGCCCGATGGTTGCAGCGTCGATCCGCGGTATTTGTGATTTACGCACCTTCCTCTTATTCCTCCCCCCTGTTCGGTTGATTTCGCAGACTACAGCTCCAGCTTGCACGGCTGTGTTCCACATTTGCTGATTCCACACGAGGTCTTTCCGGGTCATGAGATCGATTTGCAGGTATTTGAGAAAGATTTTCAAGGAGTCCTTTTGGGAGTATTTTTGCCCGCATCGGTTGCGGCACCCAAAGCGCTTGAGCAGGCGTTCGTCACCCATCCTTACGATGTGGCGGTTCCAATGCCTTTTTGTTTGTCCCAACGTAGAATGGATACTGAGGATGCCGGTTCCTTTCAGGACTTTCGAGTCCAGGATCCTGTCCTGCCACCCTAGCTTTACTATCCTGCGGAGATGGCTGAGATGGAAGTGATTGAGCTTCCTTGTTTCACTTTTAAGCTACCGCGGTGGCCTGGAACGGTACCATCTGAAGGGATAACTCGACCCCCTCTCAGGACTAAGAGTCAGGTTACAATAACTCCTTCTTTATGTAGCCTCGGATAGAATCCAAGCCAGCTCAGTCTTGTTTGTGTGAAAACTTAGTTCATCGTGCGCGGACTGGGCGTATGTTACAAGCGAAGGTGGACCCTTGAGCCTCGTCGGCCATTCTGCCCTGTCCTACCTCCCGACTTATTAACTCTGTCTTCACGTTAGGCCCAGGTGGATGAGGGAAGAGAGAGTGCCCGATCAACACATCGTGATCAGACGCAACATATGGTATGGTGACTTCAACCAAATGCGTCTCGACATGCGTCGTAGAGACTGGAAAGCAGCATTCACGGGGTGTGTTCTCAAAGACTGGTTAGGACGTAAGGCCGTACTGAATGAACTTATAACCAGATACTGCCCTCTGTCGAGAAAGAAAATCACCAGCAGGCCCCGAGGGCTACTAAGTACACTAAAAGTTGGAATAAACCGTAAGCAAAAGCTGTGGAAAGCTTATCCTAGGGATAAGACAACTGAGTAAAGGAATAAATACACGGCTCAGCGGAATAGGGTAAAGTGCCTTGTTTACAAAGACCGCCAAAACTTCGAGGGTAACCTTTTAAACTGTGCAGGAGAAAATCCAAAGCTTTTGTTTAACTACATAAGACGAAGTACTCGTAACAGGGATCCCATCTCTATGTTAAAATGGGATGATGGCGTTGAACTTTACAAGAATGACGAAAAGGCTGAGCATCTGTCCAAGTTCTTTCAGTCGGTTTTTACGAGAGAAGTCGCTGTGCCCGCTGATCACTATAGTGTGAACGATGTCCTGAAAAGTGACTCGGTGGTTCTTAGAAAAGCAATTGTTCAACAAGAATTAGTGAAGCTAAAAGAAGCGACATTGTCCGGTCCTGGCGAAACACCGGCAAAGTTTTTGAAGAAATTAGCCACAGAATTGGCGAAACCTCTGTGTCTTCTCTTCCAAGCCTATCTTGATGCAGGCAGACTACATCCTGAGTGGAAGACTGCGGGGCTTTCACCGATACATAAAAGTGGCAGTCGCGCTTCCGCAAACAACTACCGACCGGTAAGCCTCAGCTCCATATGCTGCAAAGTTATGGAGCGAATTATCAAACGCGAACTAATGCGGTTTTTAGAGCAGCATCATCTATGCGATGCACAGCATGGTTTCCGCAGAGGAATGTACTGCTTAACCAATCTACTCTACTGTCTTGACCAGTGGACCCGAGCGATTGATGAAGGAAACGTGGTGCGTGTAGCCTATATAGACTTCAAGAAGGCCTTTGACAGCGTGCCATACCAACGTCTCCTATACAAGCTCGGCCGCATAGGGGTAAGAGGAATGGAATGCCCTGCCTGAGGACGTCGTCATCTCCTCATCCGTTGACTCATTTAAGAGAAAGCTGGACCAGTACAAGGATATGTACCTCCACGGCATCAGAAACTAACAAATTTCCCCTTCACGACCCGCACTCAAAGGTTTACGTTACAAAACATGCTACTCCCTATATTTAAGTAGCATTACTTTTGAATTTTCGTTATCTCCTGACCGAAGCATATGCGCTTGCCTCGATACTACTTGGTCCATTCAGTACTGCGTAGTGGTCATTGTACAATTTTGACATAGAAGACATTCACAGACAAATTTATACCAGTGACCAATGCTTGTTGTATGTAATTACTTACATAATTTTCTTTAACACTTGCCTTACACATTGTTTTTTATGACGTTATTGTAACCAAAAGGGAATTCAAAGGCGCTCGCCTACCTTTCCCTTAATAAATCTGATCTGATGATCAAGTTTTCTCTGAGAAGAAACGAACTCATATGCGAAGCATCCTTCGTGCGAACACCATGCCGTTTGGCACACAGTGGACATCGTTGTTCGCGACGGTCGAACTGCTGTGACTGCAGATGTTGGTTCATTTGCATTCTCCAACAGCTGGCTAGAAATATCATCGGGTTGTCGGTTTCACATGTTGTCCAATTTGGCGACTTTTTCGGCTAGTTTTGAATGCTTTTTTGACGTTCCGTTTGTATGTGACCGAGGAGTGCGAATATGGGCCTAGACTGACCGACTTTAGACTGGACCAGCAAACGAACTCCAAGTTTCGTTTACTCAGATTTTGACTAGAGACAGTTGTCGGCCCATTTGAGAGGACAGCGGCCCTACTGGTCTCTGAAACTTCGTTGTAGCACATGCAGTCTGTTTCTCTTCTTCGGTATTTGGCTCCAGTAAGCCTACGACTCAGTTACCTCGTGAGCCGATTAACCGGAGCCGAGGGAATGGCAAATAACGAAATAACGTAAATGCTTAAGGCTCTTCCTTGTTTTCGGACGATTTTCTGGGTGCACGGTTCACTGACCTCAACAGTGTATGCGGACTTGTGTTTTCAGTATCCCCGATCTGTGGGGACGAAAAGTTCCCCTTTTTATGAAGATGAACGTGAGAAAATCGTTTAGCCCAAGTAAATTATTATTTTTAGCAGCCATCCCATTGACGCGGAATGTCTACAGTCCATAAGTATACTCCATCGTCGTAAATTCTCCTTTAGCATTTTAAATTGTGGATCGGACGTCAAAGTTCTAGCAGAGAAGTGCATGAATTTCCGAATTTGCTTCAACAGAATAGCAACTAAATCAAGAGCTTTTAACCAGTTCTATGTAGCTACTCTAGGAATCAAACTATTCTGCGATTCGCAAAAGGTTTCATTTGCATTCTTGGGAGATATATAGTAAGTTTCAAAAATTACAACAAACACGTTAATTGGTAGCAATCTGTTGATGGCATATCTAACTTGGATCATTTCATCCATGAGAGTCTAATAAATTTAAGCAGAGGGCAGATGACTTTCCTATACAGCAGTCATTAGAATATGATCAAATAATCTTTTCAATAAATTGTCATCGGACCAATAAAATGGCATAAATGGACCAATTAATTGCAGTATATAGTGTTATTTGATTAAACTCTTAAGGTGATAAAAGATCCTGTACCTGTTCTTTATAACTTGGGGAACTAAAATCTGGCCCAAGCGTGCAATCAGTTCCTGGAGGTGGCGGTATAAACCGCCTTTCTTTCAGATAACTTCGGTGCGCCTTTATAGGTCGGTGAGGTGTTTTCGGTTCGCTTTTATGCGAGTCGGTGCATGAGGCATTGTTAGGACCATTTTTTATACTGACTGTCCTTTGTTCTGCTCGTTCGGAAGCTGTCTTCTTCTGTTCGTCCATCCTTTTCATCAACTTATCGAAGGCATGTTCAAGTTGTTTTTTCTGCTCGAGTATCATGGAACTGAGGTCTGCCTAAAAAGCATAACAACTTGTATGCGGTTGCGCATTTGGTTGGCCATTGCAAGTCTGTCCTGGAAATGAGATTTGGTGTTCAAATATTTTCCGCGTCGTTCCATTGCTATGACAGGTTTTAAATGAATCTTTCAGGGAGCGAATAGACGCTTTGTGCAATAAACAATTGAGAGATATGTTATATGTTATAAATAAATAAATATTTATTCGACAGTAGCCTTCCTAGGTTCGTGGAACGCGGGATCCTCCCATATATAAATCAAGGCATATGTATGAAACATTTAGTCCAATATAGGTAGCCTAACTACTCTGTTTGCAAATTAAACTACTCAGCAGATCTTGTGAGTTCGTGAGAGTTAAGAGAAACATGTTCTAAAACTGCTCCAAATGAAATCTCTCTCTCTCTCTCCCATTCAACAGTAGAGACACTGCACGCGCATGCATGTAGAGAGAAGGGAGCCTGAGGTACTTAACTTAGTCTGAAAACGCACATTTAAACTGGAAAAAACGGCTAAATTTGATCAGGTAGAAGTCAGGTTGGGAGTAACCCCCTATTGCAGATGGTCTTGCGCTAAATTCCAGGGGCGGCCAGGGTTAAGGTCATGGTTAGTGGGTTAAGCTCGGTAATGTGAACGCCTTTCGTATTACAGGTTAGGGTGACTGCTAGGGTTAGGGAGGCTAGGGCTAAATCTAGGATGCTAGCATACGAGCCTCTTGAATTTAGCGCGAGACCACTTGTAGTATCAGGGGTGTCCACATTCCCGTGTTCGACCGGATTAGTGTTAGGGTTGGGGGGAGCAGGATTAGGGAGGTTAGTGGCAGGTCTAGGAAGCATTGTGGCAGGGCTAGGGCTGAGAGGGTAAGAATAGGGAGGGTTTGTTTTGGAGTTAGGGTTAGGAGGGCTAGCATCAGGGTCAGGGTTTCGTTTGAATTTGAAAGCCGCCTACAGTTCGGAGGACATTTGTTTCGGTGTCCAACCGATCAAGTTTTCATGCAAATCTGCGAGTTGTTGGATGTAGATTTCACTGAATCTAGTGGATTTTCTTCCCAGAGGAGACTCCTTACGTGAATGAGTTTCATTTTTATCCGTAAAGTTTGTAGTTGTCTATGTATTTGGCACACGGCAAAATTTCTATATCCAAGTCTTTGACAGCACTTAGTGATTTATTTGGAGTCTGTGATATATCTTTCGGTGAACCCTTTTGTTTGCATTTTCTAAAAACCCTTGAACGTATACTTTTTGAATTCAAAATAAAATATTTTGTCCCTGTTGTGTGGAAAAATTTGAAATTTTGTTTTATATTAGTTCATATGAGCCCTAAAAAGACCGAATAGAAGGGAACTAGGTCAATTGCAAGTCTTCTTTCGAATCTGACCAATTTATTTATATGTTAAATCTATTTATCTTCAGTTTAACCGGCCTGTGCCAATGAAGTGAAGTAGAAGCATGTTAAATGCACACTTCCCAAACATACTCCAGCGGCGTCTGTGTAATTCTGAATCTGACCCGCTGCAGAACTTGTATTATGGTTTTCGACCTACGAGCTGTTTATCTTTCTTATAAGGAAAGACGTCGTGTAGGACTGTTAAGATTTGGCAGTAGATGTGGCACATGCCCTATACTTTACAAGATCACTAATAGGCGGACGGATACGTTACTTTATAGGTTGATATTTCACAATCTTAAAAAAACCGCAAAATTGCAAACTTTTTCAGAGCGGAAAACACCCTTTCTTCAAATATACAATCTGAAGAAGACGTAATTCCCTACCACAAGAACACAAAAACTATTTTCGCATGCTTTCTATGAAATTTATTTGAATTTATAAGGGCATCTAAAATCAGTGGGGAAAACTCCTACTAATCATGCGGTCATTTTTTACAGACTCTATGTTTTGCAAGCGACCACAAAGAAACTCGTTCAAAAACCGACATCCGGGCGTGACTAAAATATCTAATGATTATGCCGCGTGACAGTTAATCTTACGAACCTACTTAAGTAATATTTTCTAATCGAAGACACTTTCCACGTATTCGGCCAACATTTCCTGAGATTGCACATCATGCCACGTCATGCGTCGTAAGTCGGTCACCCCGTTACGGTTCAGTGCATCTGCGCCGCAACCCGTTATGGGGGGCCATGATGCGTGTCATACGCGATCTGAGATCCCACGAGTGTGGGAGGAGCCGTAAATGCCAGATTATGGAGTAACCACTGTGACCTGGCCCTCATTCCAACGCAGGGACCGAGTTAGCCTACCCGCGCACGTCAGGTTTAAAATGCTGAGAAATGCCCTAGATTTCTATGCGCAAGGATGTCCCACACTCAGCCCTACCCTTACTTACATTTACCACATTCAGTCGCTCGTTCAAGCACATTGGTCATCTGGTGCTTCTACTGGGTTCAGTGGCTGGCGTGGCGTAAACGTCCGCTTAGCGCATTCCAAACGCATGCATGACAGTATTTGAAGCTGGTGCGGACTCAGCATAATCCCTCTAGTAATAGTGGTGAAAATGCGATTCCCGGGTGGCATATCAAAAGAAGAGGAGGCGTTCACTGGGAGAGGTGTATTTGAGGTCTGACGTTTCGGGTAGCCGTTTCTTCTACCCATCTTCAGAGACTAAGCAGTCGTACACACAGCTTTCCTTTTATGGCGCACTTTGTCCAATGCCTGGCCCATCAATGCCGCCTGTGTGGCTGCATCCGACCCGCATGTCATCGTGACCTGAATCCCGCCCATCTTCACCGGCCGCGGTGATAATTGGCGGCCCCGATTGTCCTGCGCCGTGACTGTCCCCCGTCAAGAATGTCCGTAAAACCAGATAAGGGAGAGGTAAATTGATGTGGCGGTTGACAGAACAGTCTGTAGACATCCAGGCTTATTGTATCTGCCTTGCCGTATGATCATCACCTCAGCCCACAATTTCAACGGCGTCAAAGTTGAAGACGTGTCCCATTTGGGCGGCATGGGTTGCTACCTCCGACTTTGGGTCCAACCTTCGCACGGCCAACTTATGCTCGTGCATGCGCGTTTGCAGCCGTCGGCCGGTTTCCCCAACTTAGTTACACATTCCGCAGCTACACTGAAGTCGGTAGACAACAGCCAACATCTCCTGTTTAGGGATCGGGTCTTTTGGCCGCATCACTTGCCGGCGGATTGTTGAGTCGGGCCTGTAGGCAACGCCTATTCCGAGCGGCGCGAGGGATCTGGCTACGGCTTCGGAGACCCCTTTCATGTATGGAATGCTCCGCCACGATTTTGGCTGAATAGGTTCTTCATTCCTCATCCTTGGTTGCTTTCGGCTGCGTTCAACGAATGTTCGCGGATAGCCGTTTGCTCTGAAGAGTTCTTGGAGGAGCTTCATCTCGTCCAGTTTGGCGACTGGAGTACTGCAATGAGTTTCCACCCGTCGGTATAGCGTGCGTACACAGCTTCGTTTGTGTTGCAGCGGGTGGTTGCTGTTGTAACTGAGCATTTGCAGCGTGTTCGTCGGTTTTCTGTAGACTGACGTCGCCAGTTTGCCGGCAGATGAAAACATCCAAGAATGAAAGTTTGCTCTCCACTTCTTCTTCCATCGTGAACTGTAGGTCGGGGATGACTGAGTTCAATAGTACTTCATTGTAGCTAATTTTATCCTGATCGATGATTACGAAGGTATCATCAACGTAGCGTGCCCAAAACTTTGGTTTGTATTCCCCGAACAGTCGTTTCTCGAGTTTTTGCAGAACGGCCTCGGCAATGAGTCCGGAGATTGGTGAACCCATCGGAGTGCCCTTAATTTGCTCATAGGTGATCCCCTCGAAGGTAAAAGATGTCTTGAGGCAGTGCCCCATGAGTTCTATGAGATCCTGAGCTGTGGGCCGGCCATCGCCCTCGTCGTAATTCTGACGAAGTAGGTCACTGAGCGTCTCGACCGCAAGGGCCTGCGGTATGGACGTGAAGAGTGAGACGACGTCAAATGACACCATCCTCTCATTCGGTTCGATCGTGACCGCCCTTATTTTGTCGAGGAATTGCTCTGCTGAGTGTACTGTTGTTTCTGAGCCCGCGGTTAGGAATCTTAGCCTCTGAAACAGCCAATTTGCGAGCCCGTACGTGGGTGTGCCTCGGAGTGAGACGATTGGTCGGAGGGGAACATCTGGCTTGTGTACCTTTGGAAGACCGTAGAATCTCGCCATCGGTGTTTCTGTGGGCTTTGCCATATACCATTCTTTGACAGTGATGACTTTTTCCTTCTTTAGTCGAGACAGAACCCTGTTAACCCTCGCCAGTAGGGACTTTAGACTGGTGGCGTCGCTGACCACGTAGGACTCCCGGTCGTTGAGGAGCATGAGCGCTTTGTTTCGGTAATCCACCTTGTCAAGGATAACAGTTGATCGGCCTTTGTCAGCAGGCAGAATAACTATTTCGGTGTCCGCTTTCAACTCCCTTAGGGCCTTTTGTTCATCTCTTAGCAGCGAATGGGTTTTTCGGTGTGACATGAGAAGTGAAGAGACTCGATGTCGGAGGAGGTCTTTGGCCTCGTCTGTGGCGCCGGTTTGACGTAGCACAGATTCGAAAGAAGCAATGAATGTGACCGGGTCGGCGTCATTTGTGTTAAAACCAGATCCACGTTGTAGAACTTTTGTTTGGGCCACTGTAAGATTTTTCGACGAGAGGTTGTGTACTAACGTTTGTTCAGGTTCCCGGGATTGTGCGGTCTGCAGGGCCATGAAGTTTACTGATAAATCAGCATCCCTGTTAGCACGTTTCTTTCGTCCCAACGATATTAAGGTGTTCTCCAATATAATGGCGGTCGATTCACCACAACGGCGTGTAACAAGCATCCTGAAGTTGTCGGCATTGCGTGCGTATTTCCTTAGTCGTAGCTGGCAATCTTGTATGATAGGCCAGGCATTGGACAAAGTGCGCCATAAAAGGAAAGCTGTGTGCACGACTGCTCAGTCTCTGAAGATGGGTAGAAGAAACGACTACCCGAAACGTCAGACCTCAAATACACCTCTCCCGGTGAACGCCTCCTCTTCTTTTGAAATCCCTCTAGGGCATGCCATGGATCGACATGGCTCACCTTCTGGTCTGGCTCAAGGGCAGCACGGACCATCAGCTCAGAATAATGACCTGGTTTTGATACCGGATGTAAAAAGATACCCACAGGCTCGTCTACGGAAGCCCCGGCACAGCTTTTACTTTTTAAAAAGGACAAAATGTGTACTGGTTTGCCTGTTTAGTATCGACCTTTCAATTGGCTGCTGTGGCGTGAACCCGAGGATCACACTAAACCATCCGATCGACATTAGCGGCAACCGGTGCGCGTTCGAGCGAGCCGAATCACACACAATCACACGCACTCACAAAATGCTTTTGTGCTAACAACAACGGATGCAACAATAAATGTTCTTTTACAAAACCTCCTAAAGGACCTCACCCCATTGGTGTCTTCCATCGCTAAGTACCGGCTGTGCAATGCGCTGACCGGTACTTGACAAAGCAATCCTCGAACCCACCGCAGGGGAGCCATGGTAACCATGGCCTCAGCGGATTATCCGGATTTGTGATCACCGAAACATATATTTCGGAAAATTTGTTGGATAGATAACTGAAGAAAGGCTTTATTCCTCAGCAGTGGGTCTATCTCATACTGTATGATTTTACACGATTGTGACTCTGGCGGAAAGCCTACTAATTGAAAGTGTAAATCGACTCCAACGTTTTAACCAGTCAGAAACGCACAGTGTTTTCTGAGAACCAAACATTTTTCAGAGTAAAATTCCCAGTTTCCCTTTCAGCACTGTTTCTGGTAAGCACATTCGCCCTGTGGTCTTCATAGAATGAAAGACCCTTTGGGACGCGGATATTCTCGGGATTTTTGCCACCGCATTAACCTGACGTGTTGATTGCATAAGATCATAAGCAATCCTGAAACGTAGTTACTCATTGTAAAATTTCGCAAAGACCATATGACGAAGGCTAGTCTAACCATAAAGTATTTAGAGACGGCAGCCGGCTTCTAGTCAGGACATTATACTGGATTTACCCGTAATTTTCAGATGTTTCGATGAGAAATGACGACTTTTATGTACTTCACCTGCGCAAACAGGCATCTCGGCTCATTCAAGCTCATATGTTCCAACTGAAAACGCGTAAGCAGAGTTAACGAATCAGTCATGTAGATCAGTAAACTCTGGTCCACTTTAGAGCATTTGGTTTAAATACATACGGCAGTTGAATAGCCGTTAAGGCAAAAAGCCAGTAGTGTGTATTCTTTTTGCAAGGGCTTCTGCCAAATAATGCATTTCCTTCAATTTTAAAGGGCTGGTTTTCAGTCTCATTTGCCTGTAGGTACCGTAAGGTTGTTGCATTTGCTCCGAACTTAATGGTCAGTGTTATCTGCAAAAATATGCCCGGAGAATATGATTGACAGAATAACCTCAGGGTACGAGGATTTTTACGTCAGCTTGCTGACGTCGCTCAGAGTCATTCCTATTAACCAAAGACACTTCCACTAGCTGCTCTACCAAAATGAGGCCCCTTGGAAAATTCTGTATCGATTCTTTTTTTCTACCAGGCAAACCCCTTTGGCTGCGCTTAACTGGCAAATCTTTCCAGTTGGTTATCGAGCGAACACATGCCATTGCTTAACTAGCTTGATTTACAACCCCACCCCACCCCCCGAAGTTGGGTGTTCCCAGCCATCGCCCTGGTGGCTGAGTATACTCTAAGACTATTCTGCAGATGGCAGAACATGGTGACGAAGAGCGAAAGGGCAGATCTCCATACCACTTATTAAGTTGTTAACTGCGACTCTTTGATCTGAATGCTTTCGGTATTGCATTCCACTCGAAGGAATTAAGCGGAATAGGGGGAGAAGTTCATAAAACACTAGTAAGACCTCAAAATTTGACAAACGGAAACAAAAATGTTTCCCGGCGATGAACCTTCAAATAACTTCCCAGGGTTTCCCGGCCCCAACTTCAAGCAACCGGAGTCGTTGTAATTTATACTCACTGTGGAGACAGCCTTTAGCGACGTTCCGAGACAAAATGCCTGGTAGTGTTGGGTGAAGATGTGTGCATTATATCAGTTAATAAATTTCAGGTAGAGAAGTAATGAAGTTGAAATTCAGTATAAGTAAAATCTGGGTCTATAGTGGACTGCGGAAAAACTATGATCATAGGAGGATCAACTCACTGCTGACGCCTGCGCAAGCCACTTGCGTTGCAGCGCGCTCGTCGTACTGGGCACCTCCTCCTGGATCTCAACATGCACTTGCCTGCCGGGACGAACGACATTTTCAGGAAGACATTGGTGCTTCTTCTGTGGGAACGCACTCGACCTATCTTTTGCCTGCTTCTGTGAAAGTCTGCGAAATAGGGAGATACTAGTCAGGTAAACAAAAGGGCGCAGGTCTTGCAAACTACTCGGTATTTCCATTTTGAACGAACTGCGTCAAGAAGACCTCATGAGAAAATGATGTTGAAAGAGAATGGGGCAGCCACGAGAGAAAATACG